AAAAAAAAAAAAAAAAAGAAAGAAAACAGAGAAAAGCAAAACCAAAAACAAGGGTTAAAGGAGACATTTACTTTGAATGTACACAAGTAATGCTATTCTTAATTAGTAAGCGATTTTGCTTTAAAACAGTAGTACTGCTTTAAAAGCATTATGATATTTGTGCCTAGGGGAAAATAAAATGTTGAGTTAAAGAGTGTGTCTCTCCTCAAGTCATAGGGATGATGACTAACTTTCCTAGTTTCTGTCTTCCAGATCTATGGCTGATTGCTTTACATAGATTATCGTATTTGTCGCAATTCGAAGTGGTATTATTATTTGCTCCATTTTGCAGGAAAACCCAGGGAGATTAATATTTATTTAAGGTTATACAGCTTGTGAGTGGTAAAGTCAGATTTAGACAGAGTGGCTGAAACGAAAGCCTGTGAGCTCAATCACCTTCCTAAATGGCCTTTTAGTGTCTTTCTATGAAACGAACAATTTTCCATACATGAAATTAGTGCTTCCTTGAAATATCATGGATAGAGTTAATTTTCTTGATTTAAATATTAATTCATAACTGATTTGTTTGTTAAAATCAGATACATGTTCCTAAGGACTAAATGTTGGTCAAATGACATTATAAAATTGTGTGTGTGTGTGTGTGTGTGTGTGTGTGTGTGTGTGTCCATACAGAATATAATGTGTATATATAGAACATTATATATTATTAGATATATTGTAAATAGTATTACCTTTGATATACACACGCATGTGTATGTAGAGAGTGAAGTGGTGTGAGTGGGATGGAGAAGCTTTGTATTTCATTCTGTGTCTGGGCAGTGGTTTCACTTTTCTCTTGTTTGGGTTCTAGATGGCAGGAGGGAAGATGAGCTCTGTGCTACTCATCCTATGGGTTTTTGTATTGCTTTCAGAATTTCAGGTACTTTGGTTAAGTCAGTACCCTAAGAAAGACTGTAAGTGGTAGATGCAGCTACAAGATGAAGGAACCTGAACGATCCATGAACAGAAGGAGTTTGAGGTAATTACATTTAAAACATTAAATAATGTTTCTATTTTGCATGTCGATTATTGCCAATTCAATGTAATTTACCTCATAATGATATTTGCACTTTCAGTAAAACCCAAGTTGTAAGTAGAGTTGGAAATATACTAAAAGTAATAGAATGAGATTATCTATGTTGCAAAGTAGAATTTCTGTTCCAGATTTTTAAAAATCAGCTTTATAAACACAGAGGATTCATGGGATGATTGTGAGAACTCTATTTTACTAGGAATGGTAAAAATATATTAGACACATATTAAAACGTTTCTGCATTATAATCTCTTAACCTAAAATAAAATGTTTCAGTACATAAACCACTATCTATTCAAAATTAAATGTATTCAGGAGTAGAAAGAAAAAGTATTCAGATGAGACAGAAAAAAATTTTAAAAACTAACAAAACCCACAAAAACATCAATCACTTATGTTCCAGTGTTTAAAAACTGCAGACTTCTTGTAAGGCAAAACTCAAACATCTTCCTTATTGATACTCTGAAGAGAGGATTAGGTTTGCATTTCCACAAAGTGCAAGCTCACGGGAGGAGGCAAGCAGCTTGGCTGCACTCAGGGCATGTCTCTACACTGCTATTTTCATCTTCTTTTAGAGATTCCTCTAATTTTAGGAAATATAGCCACAGGGCAGGCATCAGGAATTCTCTCTATGAATTGATGGAGATCTGCTAATGAATCTTTCTTAATTGCCCAAAGACAAAATAGTAACTGTCTTTGCTGTAGCATCACAGGGATGGGAAAAGTTTTTATTTCCCATGCCAACTCTGACACATTGGTAATTGATTCTTAGGTTGAGAAGGATTTTGAGGCCAGCTTCAATTTTGAGTTCAGTCAAAGTGTTCTGGGATGAGTATATAATGCTGAACTTTGGAGTTTTCCATATTTGATAGACTGGCCTTATGTGGTGATTTTCCCTATTGCAAACACATAAAAATGTTAAATGTAAAGAGTGTCAAGAAAACGCTTTAAAGTGTATACTGAAGCAAGCAAGGGAAAGTTGTGGGTTTCACAAACAAAAAGAAAATGGAAGCTTAGGAGGGAGAGCTACAGTTGATGCTGAGGTGTGCTGTGGGCTTAGGTCTTAGGAGCTGCGGGCTGGGAGTTGAATGCTTAATCCTGACAAGGCATGGCTTGAGGGCTAGGACTCAGACCCTCAATTTAAGGCACCCAAAGGGCTACCGGTCTTTGAAAAGAAACTATGCAAATATCTTTGGGTCAGACCAAAAGCTCGGGGTTTAATAGAAGCAAGGATAAAAGTTTATCTGAAGGGACCCTTCCACACCTCCTACTGAAAAACACCTTTTGCTGCAGATGAGCTAAAATAAATTACAAATTACGTGAGGGACAATCCCACTGTGGTGCAAAGTCAGCAGCTGCAGTAGATGGGAACACGGTAACCAAGACTGTGAGAAAACAGAACTATCCGAAAGAGACACAAAATAGAAATGCTGAACATGAGTAGAAATAAATTGCAGAAATGATAAGCAAATGACCTTCTAAGAAAAGAATAAGCAGATTTGAAAAAGAACAAAATAGAAATTGTGCAAAGGAAAGATATTGACATTTAGAATTCAGTAGATGGGTCAAAGAACAAACCTGTCATAGTCGAAGGCAGAATTATTGAACCAAAAGGTAGAGCTAAAGAAATCACCAGAATATAGTACAGAGAGATAAGGAAATGGACATTTGAGGGGAGACTTTGTGATATGTATGATAGACTAAGGGGATCTAATACAAATCCAATTAAGAGCTCTGAAGTGAAGATATTCGGAGAATTGGGAAAATGTAATAATGGAAGACTAGGAGGCTGATGATTTTCTAGAAATATAGAAAAATTTGAGTCCTCAGAATAAAGAAGCACCTCCAGCAATTGCAGTCTCTCTTTCTCTTTCTCTCAGTTTTTTTCTCTCAATTGTGTTATTACCATCAGCAAGAAAAAATATTGCAACAACTTGTCATGGTAAAATAAAACAAGCGTCCCTTGCCTGTTACCCTACTCCACATACTGCTCCATTCCTCCGCTCCTTTGCACAACACTCATTCAGAGAGTTGCCTGAAGCCCCCATCTGTACTTTCTCTTCTCTTATTCTTTCTCAAAACCCCTCGAATCAGGATTTTATCCCGGTCACTTCACAGGGACAGTTTATTGAGGTTACTGATGTTGCTGACATGGCCAAATCCAGTGGCCCATTCTCCATCTTCATGATGTGCAACCGGCAGCATTGGACAGAGTTGCTTGCTTTCTCCTCGTGAAAATGTTTTCTTCCCTTGGCTTCTTGGGACCACTTTCTCTGGGTTCTCCTCTTACTGCTCTGGTTGTTCCTTCCCAGTTTCCTTCTTGGTTCCTTTTCACCTTTGAGGACGTAGTCTCCTTCCATACTCTCTAAAGCAATCTCCTCCCAGTCCTGTGACTGTGAGTCCCAATGCTAACAACTCCCACATTGCTCTCTCCAGCTTGGACCTCTTCTCTGAAATTCAGATTCCCATATCCAGCCTCCTATATCACAGCTCCACTTTGACATCTGATAGACATCTCAAACTCACTGTCTTCAAAGGAAAACCCCTGACATTGCGTCTCTCCCTACCCCTGAACTGTTCTTAAAAATTGCCCATGTCATAAAAATGTTTTTTTTTTTAATTCTTTCAGTTTTTTGGTTCAAAGAATTTGATGTGATGCTTGTGTCTTATCTATCTCATACCCCACATCCAATTCAGCAAATGTCACCAGTTCTATCCTGAAAAGATACCCAGAATTTGACCATTACTCAACGCCTTCATCACTGCTTCCATGGTCCAAGTCTCCATCATCTTTCCTCTGGACCACTGCGGTAGTCTACAGCTGGTCATTCTGCTCTCGTACTTGCATCCCTACACAATGAAATAACTGTTCTAAGCACAGCAGCCACAGTGAGCCATACTCTATTATTTGAGACCGTTCAGAGGCTTCCCAGAGCCTTTCCAAAGTCCCTGTGATGGACTGGAGGATCTGTGTGCTTTACTCACCCCTCTGCTTGTCTGACCCGATCCACTTTCCCTCTCACTTCTCCTGTCCACACACATTGTCTCTGTGCTATTCCTTGACCACACCAGGCGTGCTTTGACCTCCAGGCTCTCACTTGTACTGTATCCTCTGCTGCAGTGCTCTTTCCCCAGATACTTAGATAGTTGGTGTCCTCATTTTCTTCAGTTATCTGCTCCAATATCAGCTTATCAAAAAAGGCTTCCTGACCACCTTATACAGAGTACTCTCCTGGCATCCATTGCCCCCATACCCTAGTTTATTTTTTTCCATAGCTCTTATCACTATCAGACATAATGTATTTACATGAGACTGTCAGTTAATTTCCATTTCCTCCCACCAGAATGTAAGCTGCATGCATACAGGGATTTTGTCTGATTTGCTCTCTGCTGATCCCTAGTTCCTGGATCTAGCAAGTAGTAGGGGCACAATAAGTATATATCAAGTGAATGAATAGGTTTCAAGCAGAATCCACAGTTGACCCTTAAATAACATGAGTTTGAACTGTGTGAGTCTACTTACGTGCAGATTTTTCTTAACAAAACTTATACCAAGTGAACGTGCCTCCACTTCCACCTCCTCCACCTCTTCCATCTCTGCCACCACGACACAGCAAGACCAAACCCCTCCTCTTTCTCCTTCTCTGCTACTTGACATGAAGATGATAAGGATGAAGACTTTTATGAGATCCACTTCCACTTAGTGAATAGTAAGTATATTTTCTCTTCCTTATGATTTTTTTTTTTTTTTTTTTTTT